TAAGTTGTGTTTTGTACTAGCTTGATTGACTGTATTATTTGTCATTCAAACCAGAACATTTGGCGGGGAGAGGGGGAGAGTAGGAGGTATCAATAATCATAAGGCAACAGATAGCGCTGGTTGTCTCAAATTAGGCTCCCCAGAAGCAGACCCTAATTTATATTAAAGTGACTTCTTAGGATGTATTCCCAGGAAAACTTGGGAGAGAACTGGGGAAGTAGAACTGCGATGGGAGAGAGGCCAAGCAAGAATGTTGCACCAGCAAAGTCCCAAGGGAGTGCACTTACCAGATAGAGTACAAGACATCCAGTTAACAATGGATTTTAAGTAAAACAATAATTAATTTTTTGTGGTATAAATATGTTCCAAATATTGCATTGGAGATACTTATACCAAAAAATAATTCCTTCCTGGCTGTCTTTTTTTTTTTTTTTTGCTAAATTTGGCAACCTTACCCACGAGGTCTCTGGAGAAAGAGTGTAGGTCCCACCTAAGAGGGCCAAGGGATAAGGGAGCTAGTGTATTTAAACCTCTGCATCCATCAGTCACTGGCTGAGTACAGCTCTGGATGAATATAATTCCCAGGCAATTCCGTTTCTCCGAGTCCTCGGGCAAAGCAGCTCATAGGAGTCTGAGGGTAGTCTTCCCACAGAGAGACACAAGTTCTGGCTGCTGCATAGAAGCCACACTGGGAGCTTCCATGCACAGAGATGGCAAGGAGATCTGAGGGGGTCTGGGCAGAGCACTGACAGCACCTGCTGCCCTCACACGACCCCGCGGAAGATGAGCTGTGTGGTCATCCTAAGGACAACTAGTAGTCTATGCTTAGGGCTTGAAAGAGCTCCCAAGACTAAGAGGTAGAAACACTTTTTTTGGAATTGGTTGGCAATGGGGTTCTTCGAGAACACTGGAAACAACAGTACACCCTCCCACACACTCACAATTTTACATCTCAATAAATTACCTTGCCATAAAAATTAACTAGAACACATACTCTCCATTTTTTAGATATGGAAATGGATTTATTCCATCAAGATTATTTTAACTTAGAAATAGAAAAGGTCATGAAATGAAGCTTCTTGCTTTATTTTCAGACAGATGTAGCCATTTACGATATAGCATCATCTCATAAGTGGGACTAATATGCACTTTGTTTACTATCTGAAGATTAGTTGGCACTTCATGTGGTAAAGACGACAATGGCTCCCCCAATTAAGAGTGAACAAACTCAGAGTATGAGACACAACTTGGAATAAGCTTGCATTTCCTTTTAGATTCTTCTGGTAATTCTATATCTTGAGCTTAATATATAGGCCTCCTAGATAATTAGGATGCTAATTACTATTGCAGTTTTCCTCTTGCCCTAAGGACGTGTACGGTTAAATTATTCTGAAAGTTAACTACAGTTTTCTGACTCCTTGGGGTGAGTCAAGAAATAGCATAATGAAAATTTGCTTACAGGTTCAGAAGAAGGCCTTCTTCTGTAATATATAATGCCTAATTATTCAAGGTAGAAACATCACTGTTTTACATAGATAATTTACAGTTTCCATTTTACCACTGAACTTGGCCATCAATTAGCTTGTTGAATCTGTTAGTGCCTGCATGTAAATATGTATGTAATGTACAGTGGTACATGGAATAGTAAAATGCTAAGATAATTAGACTGACCTAGTAGAGACATTGCTTAATAGCGTTATGTAGCTCATCATGATGTATCTTTCTTTTAGGAAATGTGAAAAGTAACTTTAAGTCCAGAGCCTTAATGAGGATGCTCACTTTCTGGTGAGCCAGAATGTATAGCTCCTCCTCTCTTCATAGCCATGGCACCAGAGGTATGTCTGTCATTGCAGGATACTGAATGCTCTTATACAGGAAAAGTATGGGACAAGTTGTTCCTTGAGCAGGAAAACAAACAAACAAACAAACCTTGGCCCCTCGTGACTGATTTGATTATATCCATGTTTCTTAGCTTAGTCTGCAAAGTCCATCTTGACCTAACCCCTGCCTTTTTCCTGACCTCACCTTCTGGTAGTTCCTTTTTAAACACAGCATACTCAAAATTAACACTATATCTTCCCTTTGCTAAAACTGCTTCATCTCACTGTAATGTGGTCACTACCTCCTCTCCTCACGTCCCCTGGCTAATAGATACATATCCATTAATCCTCTATTCACAGCACACACTCCAGGAAATCTCTGCTCTTTCCCAGACTTGGTTAGATATTTCATCTCATCTCTCCTAATGTACAATGTGCATACTATTTTCACAACCTGACGCCCTGGTGTACTACTGAAGCTGAGAATAAATAACCACTAGCTGAGGATGAGAAAATGTCTCTTTGATTTAAATACAAGTCTATTTCATTCTAAGTTGATTTTTAAGTAAGGTTATAATGCAGGTAATTATTAGCTAGTAGATTTATATAATGTATTAATACCATAGTTAAATGAAAATAAGAAATTTCACTGTAGAGATTTTTTATAGGTCTATCATTAACAAAGAGATGTTATAATATACACAACTTTTTACATCTTATTTTAATCATTTTTCACATTCATATATATACATAAGCATAGGCATATATGTAGAAGCAAATGATTATAGTAATTTTATAATGGGAATAAAATAATTATTCATGTATGCATGTCTGCATCACCCTATGCCTTAAAAGTTAAAGTAGGCAGTATTAAAAACTTCTTTAAGGGTTAAAGAAGACAATTGATTAGCTCTATCAAAATCAATTAACAGTGATATTTAGAATGTCAGACTAAATCCAAACACTCTGATCTGAAATTTTTTAATTCCTATGAAAAGAAAATTTCATTTAATCTTATCAAAAAAAAAAAAAGGTTGCCTAAGACCAATAAACTTAGATCTGGATTCTGGTAATCAAGGATTATGCCTATCATCAAAGCATTAGAAAATTTTTCTCTCTTATTATTTAATTAGAATCTGGTAATTGTCATTTTGCTCATAAATTAAATTCTTTGAGGCACATTAGATGATACTCTAACATTTAAATAATGCGTTTCATCTTTAACGTAATTTATAAACATGAATTAAGTAACCTTCCAAAGTGGCTATTTGAAAATTTTATCTCCCTTGAAAGTGATTATGCTTAGAATTTCTACTTAGTGGCATTGTATTTAATTTTTCAACCATTACACTTCACAACTAAACTAATCCATCCCTTTCTCCCCAATTACCATTTACTCTGATACTAAATGAGATAAGCTTTAAATGCTTACATAGTAATTTTATCAGGGACTTGGACCAGTGGACTGTTTTATCCTTCATATCGAGTTCTCATGCTTCTAGGGGAATTCTCAATGGTGCAGTTCTATTCCTTGGGAATAAAGTGAACAATGGCCTTTAATACCATTCTTTAGTAGGACAAAATGTTCATCACTAACAGTATCACATAGGTGCCGTTATGTTTTATCTTTCCAGTTGCACTGAAGGAACAGAGACTCATTCAGGCAATGCAAATAATGGGGATTTATTAAGAGGGTACACTGGGAAGTAGGAAGGTAGAAGAAACATGTTTGTGAATGTCACATTAAAAATTCCCCCGAAGAAAGATAAAGGTGTCTTTTTTTGTGCTTTTGGTATACCCCTACACTAAGCCATAGTTTACTAGCTTTTTACAGTCAACTGGTTATAGACCAATCAACTGTTGGCCAGAATGGCAGGGTAACATGGTACAGGGCATGTTAATCTTTGTATAAAGATTTTCTCACCAAATTGCTGAATAACCATCAAATTCTTAGCAAATATCCGAAGGGGACAAAGTAAGAAGCAGGCATCTGAGGTTTATCAGAAGAAAGGCACTGCAACCCTCAATGAAAATGAAACTTCAGAGTTCTTCCAGCACAAAAATAATAATTTATAGAGTATTCAATATGTGAGGTGTGCATTACATACATTAATTATTTTATTTAATCATTATAAGAAAGGCAGATACTGCTAACCTCATGTTACAGATAAGACCAAGAAGCATAAGGATCTTTATCAGTTCACAGCTAGTATTAGAACTAGAATATCAACTGAGGTTTGGCTGATATTAAATCTAGTTCTTTCCTCAGTGGTACCACACTGAATTTCACAGTAATTATAAAATCAATGAATGGTTATGGGGATACTCTCATGCTGATTAATCATGTGGGCATGCAACACTCTCTCATTCTAGTTAACTTGTATATTAAAGCTGAGTATACTCTTCTCCTATATGAGACAGAGGGGGAGCAAAAACTATACATATTCAAGGATATAAAAGAAATAATTATTTTTTCTATGGCTCAGAACTAATGAGAGGCAAGAGTCAGTGCACGCAGCAAAGACAAGATCATTAGCAACAGAGTCAGGGAATGAATACCTTATCCCATGTCCTGTGTCTCCCCAGCTGATGCTTCTTGAATGACCCCCTGCTGTCCCTTTGCCTGCTGGCCTTCCTGCTGAACAGCCAGAATTCATTTTATAGCTAGGAGAAAAAATATTAATAGTTCAAGTTACAGCTAAATCAAATATACTTTGGTATGCTGCACATAGCATTTTGTTCTCTATGGAATAAATTCTGTGTTAACAAATATCTCTTAGGAAACCACATACAACACCCATTGACTCCAAGAAGAATTTAGACCTTTGATCCTAGGTCAGAATAGGTTAAATATTAAAAGCACCTTCTCACTAGAATTCAGCAAAACAGTACTAAGATAATAATATAAAAAAGAAACTTTTGACTTTACTTATTAAGGAAAAACCTATGAATTTTCCACATTGCAATCAAGTTTTTATTTCATGGCAAGCCAGTGAAGATGGTAGCAATCAAATAAAACTTAAAAACTAAATGATAATAAAGCAAATTGTATTTTTGAAGCATATCCTCTTCTTCTTTTATTGATACATATTTTGAAAAGTGTTTCTGAACCTGTAAGTTGAGCTATCTGGGGGGAATAATAAAGCTCACAAAAATATATAATGGCAATAATGTGATATATGGGCATTAAAGCTTTCAAAAAAAAAAAAACCCATCCCTAAATGATGCCTTGCTTGATATATCTATTATCTAAAAGGAGGAAGCGCTTCGAAAAGAGTTCTCTCTTATATCTCTTTTTTAAAATATATTTTAAAAATTTCCTCTGAAACCTGAGGGACTATCCATAGAATTCAAAAGACTGCAGGAAATGCTTGCTCTGACATAGGCAATAAGGATTCCTGTTTTTCCCCAGAGGCTGCAGCAAATCTAGTTCTTTTTTAAGAACTCTTGCCTTCTGGGCCTATGGAATTCTGCTTGAAATGTGTTTTCTCTTATGAGTAATGTAGTTTCACCTACTGCTAACATCTATATAAGGCACTGTACTCCTATGATACTAAAAAGCAGTATTAGTCACTCCAGACCTTCAAGCTAGCACCTCTGTAGGATCCCTCTGGTTAATACCAAGGAACATATTCCATATTCTGAGTCTCCTCTCCTTCCTTCCTCCTCTAGAAAATAGAATTTCTATTTAAAAAAACCAAAAAGTGGTAAAAATAATTTGTTCATTTCCAAAAAGGAAGCTGAATGCAAATCTGGTCTCTTTTGCGTAAGATAAGGGGTCAAGTGAATAAGATGTTCTAGCAATAACTCAACTATTAAAGGTTCCATAGAGTAGAATCTACTTATTCAACAACAGGGCATGACTAGATGGTCATTACAAGTATGACTTCTGCTTCCACATCATGCAGGATAAGGGAAATTTGGGGATCATGATGTATTGTTGGCCTCGACAGACAAGAGTGGCAGAAGTCCTCCTCTGATCTAGTTGCCACCGGGTTTCTATCATCTTTCTCCTGGGAATTCTAAGACACACTAGCTTTTTTTTTTAAGTTGAAGTAAAATAGTATGTCACATTATACAAGTTTCAGTTGGACATTATAATTCAACATCTGCACACATTACAAAGTGATCACCACTAAAGGTCTAGTTACCATCCACCTCTGTACGCTTAACCCTCTTCACTTTTTCAGCCAACCCCACGCCTTCTGCTCATCTGGTAAACACCAGTCTAGTCTCTGTAGCTATGAGTTTGGTTTTGTTTGGTTTGGTTTATTTGACATTTAAAAAAAAAATTCTACATATGAGTGGAATCATAAGGTATTTGTCTTTTTTCATCCAACTTATTTCACTTAGCATAATACCCTAAAGGTCCATCCATGTTGTCACAAGTGGTAAGATTTCATTATTTTTAATGGCTGAGTAGTATTCTATTGTGTGTGTGTGTGTGTGTG